TTTTTTTTTTAAAAGTTCTTGCATGGGGTGAAAACTCATTTAAAATATCATTGTAAGAGTTTGATTAATTATTTAGTTTAAACTTTTGTTTTCAATTTTATTTATTTTTTGTTTTTATGTATTTCTTTATGTCTTATTGTTTTTTATATTTTTAAATGTAATACATATGTATAATAATATTTTATGGTTATAAGAAAATCAAGCTAAAGAAACCATCTTCATTATTTTACATTGGATGTTTGTTTCTTTCTCACATATTCATGTATATTTATTTTAATTTCAAAAGTATGTAATTTTTTAACAAAATAAACTTTTTGTTATATAATTATTAAACCAATTTGTAAGACATTCTTTTAAGAATAATGATCCTTATATTTAGTTTGTGATTCAACATGTAATAATATAAACAACATTATAAATTTTGTTAACTTTGAATTTTATACTTGATTTCCTTTATAAAAAACAATTTGATATTCAATTTTCTATCTATTATATATACTACAACGATGAAAAATATAATTAAACCTAGAGATATAGCTTAAATTAAGATGAATATAAAAACAAATTAAAAATAAAATTATTCTTTGGGAATTTTTTAAGGTTTCTATTGGTCCATTTAGCATTTATTTTTAATTATAATATTTATTTTTAATTAAACCAAATATCTAACACATTTAGTCATATATTTTAATTCATACTTGAAATCCACGCTTTACTATTAAATTGTAACTTAAATTATATAGCCTTTCAATTGACTATTTGTTTCCTCCATTCAATTTCAATTAACACACTATAAAATATAATTATAACTCCTCTAATTTAATTATTTTAGAATTATAACTTACATCATATTTTATCCTATAAATACTCATTTTTACATCCTCCTCCACCATATCTGATATTCTCAATATTTCTTTATTTAATTTTTAATGTTCTTGCATGGGTTGAAAGCTCAATTAAGATATCATTGTAAGAGCTTGATTATATATTTGGTTAAAACTTTTGTTTTCAATTATATTTCTTCTTTATTTTATGTACTTCTTCATTTTTTCATTGTTTTTATACTATTAAATATATAATACATATGTATAATAATATTTTATGGCTATAAGGAAATTACCATCGCACCATAAGAAAATCAAGCTAAATAAACCATCTTCATTGTTTTACTTTATATGTTTTTTTCTTTCTCACAAATTCATGTATATTTATTTTATTTTCAAAGTATGTAATTATTTTAACAAAATAATTTTTGGTTATATTCAAACCAATTTGTAAGACATTGAAATAAATAAAATTTTATACACAAATAAAGGTAATTTGTGTGTATATTTATAAGTTTACACACATATATGGATAAATTTTAACATTTTTAGTGGTTGTTTTGATAAAGTTTAAAAAGAGGGTAAATTTAAAAAGTAGTATTTTTAAAATTTTTGAGAAATACCCCTTTTGGTGTACTACTTTTTAAAAATACCCCTCTTTCTATTCATTTTCAAAAATACCCTTTTTCAAATATGAAAAATTATAGACTTTTATATGGTTGATAAGGTATATCAAGATCATCATTACTATTGGGAGACTAAATCCAAATATTTAGAAGGTTTTAAAAGGTTCTAAACGGCATTTATATGGTTTTTATAAGGTTTTTAAAAGGTTTACACAGTTTTTATAAGCTTTTTATATGATTTTTAAAAGGTATTTATACGGTACTTATGATATATATATATATAAATTTACACACATGTAAAGATAATTTGTGTCTATAAATATAAGTTTATACATATTTTTTTGATAAATTTCAATTTTTATTGTGAATTTTTGATGAAATTAGAAAGAGGGGTATTTTTAAAAAATGTTATTGGAAAAGGGGTATTTTTGAAATTCTTGATAAATACCCCTTTTGGTGTACCCCTTTTTAAAAATACCCCCTTTATCTATCCATTTTCAAAAATACCCCTTTTTAAATATAAAAAATTATAAAGTTTTATTTAGTTTATAAGCTACTTCTATATAATAACTACTACTGGGAGATTCGATACAAATATTTTAAAATGTTTTAAATAGTTTTAAATCGTTTTTATTAGTTTTATAATGTTTTTAAAAGGTTTTTAAAAGGGTTTATACGGTTTTTATAAGGTTTTTATAAGGTTTTTATAATTTATTTTTACGCTATTTATGAAAGGTATATAAAGTTTTTTACACATATAAAGGTAATTTTTGTATATATTTATAAGCTTACACATATATTTGGATAAATTTCAACATTTTTAGTGGGTTTTTTGATAAAGTTTGAAAAGGGGGTATTTTTAAAAAGAGGTATATGAAAAGGGGTATTTTTGAAATTCCCCCATTTTTAAAAGGGTATTTTTTAAATTCTCCCTATATCATTCCTATTTTTATCATTATTAATATTATTTTTTTATCAAAAAATACTTAAAAGCACTAAAGAAAATTACTATCAAAATTGAACAATTAATCAACGAATAAATTCAAAAGAGATGGATGTATGCTTCTATTGTATGATTTAAATAAATAAAATGTAAAAATGTCGTAAATATTAAAATTTATTTAATCTATTTTTTATAAGTAATAAATAAATTAAAATAATTAAATAAATATACAACAACCCGCGCATATGCGCGGGACA